CAAACAGAATTATACAATTGCTACCACAGTCTTTCCAAACATTCTTTTTGTACATGGACTCCGTGACATCATCTCCTCTTCTCATCAGTTCTCAGTCATACGCCACCTCAATTATATGCTCCCTCCTGAAAGGTACATTTGGTACATTGACTCGGTTCATTCCTTCCCATTTCTTTTTATGCTTCCCAAGTCGTTCAATAATTTGCCCATGGAATCTTTCAGTTTTACAACTTAGGTTAGAATTTTTTCTTCAATTCTTTTGGCTTGAGAAATGTTGAGCAGGTTCTTTTTTTTTTTTTTTAGTTTCAATATTATTGCCTTTTATTGTCAGTGTTGATAAGCCCAATCTTTATTTACCCTTGAGGGGTGGAAACATTACATGTAACTTAACAGGTATATTTTAATCCACACATGCTGGACCGAGGTGGCTAGGGTGGCAGCCATCAGCCCTGCTCTGGGAAGCACTTACGTGGACCCCATACCCATCTCCAGACATGTGGTTAGTGCAGACTCGAGAGAAGCCCTGACAGCCCACAGCCCTGCTACGTTGGTGCTGAAGGACCTGCTGAGGAACAGCTGACCTGGACGCAGCACTTCATGGAAGTCAACCGCCACTTGCATGCTTGCTCCTGGTATGGCTGCACCTGGACACGTTCCACTACCACACTCTGGAGGAGGCCGAGGTGCCACAAGCCAGTCCCACTGACCCTGGAGGCCACCCTGGAGGAGGTGCAGAAGGAGCTCGGAGTGTGAGCTCAGCACCCGAGGGTCCAAGCTATGACTAGAACAAAAATCTTACTCCAGGACCTGGATCGACGTCGCCTACTTGGGGAGTAGGACTTGGGCCGTGGCCTGGACTGGGACCAGGATCTCGACTGGCTTTTTGAGGAGCGTGACTGGCTCCGGCTCCTGTGACAGTGGAGCAGGCTGTGAATCACAGGCCCGCCCAGACCAGCCTTGGGAATGCCTGCACCCAAGCTGCTCCCCTCGGTGCCCGATTACC